GAAAGCTGTTGAGAGAAAATATAATTTAGAAGCATGTGATTTTGCAGGTGTGAGGGCAGCACCTCTGTGGGACTCTAAGCGGCAGCAGTTTGTTGGGATGCTGACAATCACAGATTTCATCAAGATCCTGCAGATGTACTACACATCCCCCTCTGTCACAATGGAGGAGCTGGAGGAACACAAGCTAGATACTTGGCGCAGTGAGTTCTGGTCTCCTGAATTTTGTATAGGGTTATGGGTATAAGTGAAAGATATTACTTCAGATACTTACCTTTGAAAGGGTCTCGTATCAGATCACTTATATATGTTCAAAGGAGTGTGGTAACTGTGTTGAAAGCACTTTGAAAATTAGTACAGAAATATTCCCAGACAAGGCACACCATTTAAAGGTAGGTCATGAATGTTTTGAAGGTAACAACACTAACTAAAATTGAATCACTGTTTATTAAATTGTCAGATAATGTATTTTTGTCTTATTATTACATAATGCCATTTTAAGAGCCACATTTATCGAGATCCTTAAGATGTGGTTGTATTAAAATTTAATTGTGACTTTACAGTCGACAGAGTATTATTAAATGAAATTATGAATAAAAGACATACAGAAAAGATTAAATTCATGTGAAGAAACAAACATTTATTTCCTCGCGTGTGATTTACACTGGAAGACTTTCTATTTTAAGTTGTGGCTTTGTGATAGAAGTGTTCGGTACATATGTTTTGGACTATTATGAATGAATTATTAAGTTAACGGCAAGTCTCCATATCAGGTATTCTAAAAATAATAGTATCATGGCTGCCATGCTGTTATTGAATAGACTTTATTGTTGACAGATGTGCTGAAGAATCAGGTGATGCCTCTTGTTAGCATCTCACCCGACGCATCATTGTTTGATGCAATCCGAACACTGATACACAACCGCATTCATCGGCTGCCCGTCATCGACCATAAAACAGGGAATGTATTGTACATACTCACACACAAACGTATCCTGCGTTTCCTCTTCCTATATGTAAGTACAGCCAGTGTCTTGTAAACTGTTGGGAACGTGTTATGAACATGATTATTTATTAAAAACTTTCTCCTGCCTCCAAATTTTATTTCGTCTTGTAGAATCTTTGAAGGACCCTAACAAATCAGATTTTTCTGTCATTATTGCAAATAAGATCAGTAGTATTACTTAATATTTTAATGGCGTCTTCTTCCAGTGTGGAAAGAAGTTTGATGGTGTTTGAAAACAAAATTATGAGGAGAGTACTTGAACTTGAAAGATATGTAAAAGAAGAATAAAGAAAATTTCACATTGAGAAATTGATGGATTTTGTTTACCTAGTGTTATGTGAATGATTTTAAGCCAGAAGTATAGAAAAAAATCATTATTGCAAAACTTCTAAGTGCAAGTCTTCTTGCATATAACCAGTGTTGCACTTTGCAGATCAGTGACCTGCCAAAGCCAAGTTACATGAACAAAACACTGAGTGAGTTGAAGATTGGTTCATACGATAACATAGAGACGGCCAACGAGGATACGAGCATCATTCTAGCGCTGAAGAAATTTGTGGAGAGGAGGGTGTCCGCGTTGCCCATCATTGACCCAGAGGGACGACTTGTTGACATTTATGCGAAGTTTGATGTCATTGTGAGTGTTTATCATTCATTTCCAATACGAGAACAAAAACTGTCCTTAAAAATTGGAATATTTTATTCACTCTCTATTGCTGTTGTCAGGTTAATGGAATCTTGAGATATGAGCTTCTCACTGTGGTGAAAATAGGCAGTGACATTCTGGTTTGTGATGCTGTGTTGTCTTTTCTTCTTCTTTATTACGCCGTTTCCTTTACAGGAAGTTGGCGACATAGTATGAACAGGATCCTTCCATCCTTTTCTTGGACTGGGACCTGTTGTAGTCTTTTAAGTGGTTACTATTATTTTGAAGGAACATTTCACTTTCGTCTTCAACCCTGAGATGTTGGTAATGATCTAAAAGACTACATGGCTTTTCTGCATTTGTTACTTGCAGGGGGTTGCAAAACTAGGGAAATGTGAATATGGAATAGAGAGAATAATTAAGAAAGGAGAGAAGCCTGTGTGACATATTTTAACAAAGTATAGAGTGAAATGATTTGAATATAAGAAATGAAGTGCAGTTGTTAAAAGATTGATGAGAAAAACAGACTGAATAGAACATATTGTTTATCGCTACCAGAATGATGCGTGTATAGTAATGATGAAAGAATGTAAGAAAACAGAGAAGCATCAAGTGAAAATAAGTAGGCCGGTACCTAATGATGACTGTTTCAGTTTCATCAGAATCTAGGGATTGGTCAGAGGCGCACAGTATGTGAATTAGCAGCAAGTAAATAATGGAAATGTAGATCAGATCACATAAGACTTACTGATATCACTAAAACAATCTGAAAATAAGAAACACCTGTATGGAATAAATATTGAAATGATAAAAGAAACCCATCTTCCACTATTGAGTACACAAGTAAATTAAATTTGTGCTTTTATATGCATCCAGGTATTGAACTTTAATGAATTAATTTCCTGAACTGTCACTAGATATAGACTGAGGGATCATAATGAAGGTATTGGAGAAAAACTGGGAATAAGGTATCAGTATGACTTTCAAAAGAACTGCATGCCTGTAAACCAAGTTTGAAGTTGTCTTATTGTAAGCCAAATGGAAGAAAATGCCAGGGACATTTAGGAAATATGGAAGGAAAAGTTATAATCTTTGTAACTGGAACATGTCAAGAGCTTAATCTCTGATTTTGATGATACTCACTGAAGTAAGTTCAGGAATTAATTAGTCATGCCTTGTAATATGAGGAGGAAATCTTGGAATGATGAAACTGCATTTGTTGTAAACATTTTACAGAGTAGTGGATTTATAGGCCTGTCTGTCATTATTGTAATACATTACATTGCAGAACTTAGCTGCGGAGAAAACGTACAACAACCTAGACGTATCGCTTAAGAAAGCCAACGAGCATCGCAACGAATGGTTTGAGGGTGTGCACAAATGCAAATTAGAAGAGACGCTGCAAACCATTATGGAGAGGATTGTGCGGGCAGAGGTATGTTTCAATACTAAACCACACAGTGATGCAAGTTTGTGCTGTTTGTCTAGAACAGTTGTCGTGTATTCATGCAGGTTCATTATCTTCTCAATCCAAGAAATTTTTGATTGAATTCGTTGTAGCAATCTACGAAACGTTTCTGTGTTGTTTTCAGTACTTAAAAATTTGTATTTGGTAGATGCCACGTTTGAATCTCCACCTGGATACTGGTTATCTTATCTGTGAGGTTCTTTGTACTTTTTCTTGAATTCTCCAGGCAAATGTTTGGACAGTGCTTAATCAAATCACTTTGTTCCACATACTTACCAGTTACAGTCAATGTAGTGACTTATACACACGAATGAGCACAGTACAATAAGCAGAGAAACAACTCTTTCTTCCAAATGCATACTGATCATTAGGGTTCAGATTTTCATGACATGTCATATTTTTATTGGGGCTTCTATTTTCATTCTAAACTGAAATTAAAGACTAACTGGGTTATCCTAATCACAATTATGCTGTATTTTGCATATACAGGTAGCCCTCGATTTACGCCGGGGATGCATTCCTGGACGAACCGGCGTAAACAGAATCGGCATAAATTGAAACTCTTCTATAATGTAAATCAATGGGAAGTCAATGACATGCGTTCCCAGCACCCAAACATTGACGAGTAATGTAATGGCATTACATTTAAAGCTCTAAAATAACGTAAATAAAATAAAGGGAATTTAAAAAAATATATTTTATACACTTACAATCAGCAATTCGTTGGTCCCTGTGATTGACTGTGATTCTGTGCGTACTTACTGTGAAAGGTGAACATAATTTCCTTGGCGTGGTGGTGGGGCTTGAGTACCTCAGTGGCGGTAGCGTAGCTACTGGTAGGGCCTCCCTAGGGGGAGAGGTCAGACTAAGACAGGTACCCTGGTCCTCCAGGTTGGGGGTTGGTCGCAAGGCTAACAACCTTGCACAGTAAAAAGGAAGATGTTTTGAAACCTCGATTAAAGCGGACGGACGGACCTAACAGAGGACCGAATGGAAGAGGAGAATTGAGGAATGCGGACCGGAGAGCCATAGAAGAAGAAGAAAAAGAAGAATAATCTTTTTTGAATGTTTTATTATGTTGTAGGTAATGTAATGGCATTGGGTTTCTTCCCATTAAGTAATCCTATAGTTACAATCTCTGAATACTGTTGGCAGGTGCACAGATTGGTTGTGGTTGATGAAGAGGATAAGGTGATTGGCATCATCTCATTGTCAGACCTGCTGCTATATCTCGTGCTGAGGCCCTGTGGTAAGTAACACACGGTTATACAGAATACTGATACAGAAAAGTGCTATGAGCATATTCAAATCCAATTCGTCAAGAATACATACTTTAAGGTACATTTCTTTTCTGGGTGTGGAATGATACTGCATCTATTTTCCATAGTGGGAATTATACACAGATATAGATTACTAAATTATACAATTAGTTATAGTTCTTGCTAGCCTCACCATACAGATTTAAATATTTGAAAGAGACAAGCAACTTAATTTCTTGTTTCCACATAGTGAATAAACAAGCTTAATATGACCAAAAGAGTGAAAAATGTATCTTTACAGAGTACATATGGGAACTCATTATCCTTAAATCAAATGATTTTGTCATATGTAATATGACATGTCACTATTTATTGATAATGGAACTTTTATTAAGCAATCTGTTGTTTGGTACCTTGATATCCATGTTTGTCACTTTTTACCATTGATCATATGAACTGAAAATATTTTTTATTTCTGTTTAAATCAGTTTTCCTCATAAAATGTCAAGATCCAATCGGTAAGATCACCGCTAATACTGCATTGGAGATTAGCAGATGTTCCTTCTGTACAGAGCATTCAGCTTTCCCATTTAAACTAGTTCTTAGCAGATAGGTTTGGCAACAGAAGAGAACTGTAGAACCATAAGTAAGCTAAAGAATGTCAAAATCAGTCCACTTTACACCAAAACCTCCATAAATGATAATTCAGGGAACCCATTGTTTTTTAGTTTATTTCTGAGTTGTTTATGTATGGAGGTTGTTACCAGGACTGTGGAGTCGGAAGCAATTTTAGGTGGAGCCGGAGTCTGTAAATAATGTACTGACTCCGACCTCGATATAAAATCTTAAGAACACTTTTGCTACCGTGTAGGCCGCCGGCAGCCTACCGCTTAGGAAGATTCAACGACGTGTTGAGCCATATGGTGTGGGAATAATGCTTTGTAACTTTGGCTCCAGTACCTTGTGAATACAAACTGTCTTCAAATCAAACGATTTCTGCAATAAACATTATACATATATTTAAACATATGTTACAAGTCTAAAAAGTAGCCTGATGATTAACGTGGTGATGATGAAACCTCTTGTGGTACCATTTACCGTTTTAGTGGGTTTACCATTATTAATACATATTGAGCTTTGAGGTTTTAGTACTGACTCCGCAGCCCTGGTTGTCACAGAGAAGTTTATCAAACACAGATTTAATTGCATCTGTTGACTTATTGGAACTGTAATGAATAGGACATCCAGTTAATAGATCAGATTGTTAATCGCCAATTAATTTTTCCACTGATTAATCTGTTAACATGCACAGCATACTGTTATTCATGTTCACACATTCCTATGCAGATCATACCATAAAGTACACATTATACTGAGTTTCTGATTTCAGTGTTATCTTGGTATCTACAACTCTATAACACCTACACTGAAACCATTCTATAACAATTTACTTTGACCTTCATATTACAAATTGCATGTTTAATATTTTTAGATGTGTGGTTAGCACATTTGATTTGTATTCTGGAGATCCCAGGTTAAGATGTCAGCATGTAGACTGGCAATCGTGATTCAGATTTTCATGATTTTCCTAAGTACTGCCAGGTAAATACTGGTTAGTACTTGAAAGTAGTCCACAAGTGTTTACTTCCGTATCTTTCCAGTTTATTAAACATCATATAATTTGATGGTATGCAATCCTAGCTACTTACATCATCATTCTTCTTCTTTTTCTTCTATGGCTCTCCATGGCCTCCTCAATTCTCCTCTTCCATTCGGTCCTCTGAGGCTTTGATTGAGGTTTAAACATCATAAATAAGTGAATAGTTTTTGTTAATTGGTTTATGATGAATAGTTATTTGATTAAAATGTAGGTTAATGCCTCTAATTTTACAAGCCTAAATAAACATGAATTATGATTTCTGGTTTTGTATTTGTGAACTGCACTGCATAGAAATATTTTAAATTTGGTTATCTTTTAGTTGAACTAATAGCTGTATTGGTATGTGTTTCAGGTGAGGACAGTACTGGTGGTGAAGGAGTGGGTAGTTCCTTGCGCCAACAAGATGCAAGCCTCCATCATCAGGCATCATCAGACACAACTACAACAATACCTGAAGAGGATGCTGGCACTCTCAGTGAAGGTGATAGTGGCCCACCATCTCCTATACCTGCTACTACACAGCTTGACAGTGGTGGTCCAGCCTGGCGCGAAGTAACGGTGTCAGGTGGCGAGTGAGGCGCTCCTTTGACTCACCTGATCACTCAACAATGGCATCACCAGGGATTTTACAAGTCCCATCTTAGATGTTACATTCTGTATCATAATCTTCATCCTAGCTGCCTTTGACACCTGAATGGGGTGAGGAGTTGGTCTCCCAGAAAGTTTACTAGGTTGTATTTCCCTCAGTACAGAGGGGAATGTACACGCAGAAACCAGTGTGTCATTGCTACTGACAAGAACAAGTTTGGAGTGAAGGATTATGGGAGGTGGAACTGTGAATTTTAATTGTGACGGATGAGATAGTTGAATGCAGGAATATCTTCATGTTAGTAAGGTTACGAGGGACCAGATGGAGGCAGAGTGTAAAGGGTGAGTGTGTCTGCATGCCATCTGGGTCTGCTCAGTTTTGACTGACATAAATGAAGAAATATTGTACATGTTAACTGCTACAGCAAAAGGTCTAAACTTATGTTTTATATCATAGTTGGATCATTTCTTAAGAAGGAGGGGTGCAGAAGTAATAATTTTGATGGTAACTTTCTTGTCCATGTGTTTTCTTTTGTCTTAAAGAGCATGCAGGTTTATTATTAAAATAGCAGCAGAGCTGGTGACACCTACAACTATTATTTTTAACTTTTCTATTATGACTTGAGCAATACAGTTGCCCTCTTTGATCTGTTTCCATAAAAAGTTTGTGTTGCTAAAGAGGTCTAAGGAAATAGAGGCACCCCTCCCTGATTTTTTTAAATTCTGCAGGTGGAACATTAAGTTCAGACCAGTGCAGATTTCAGAAATATAAATAAACAAAGAAATAAGACAGATATTGTTGCATAACTAAAATCCTTTTCAAGTCTCCTTCCTGAAATAACTCACATCTTCTCACCACAACAATATAGTGCACAAAATTAATACAGTCTCAAATTTTCCACAGACTGAACATCCAGGGTTCAATCCCCCAGCACGAGCAAAGGGTATAGCATGTCCGGGCATAATGCTGGCCACTCATACCCATCTACTACTGAAGTCAAAAATGAGTAGGAGCTATAACTGCAAGGTTTGCTGCCATTTGGCCTTGACCTTGCAGAGTTGGAGACCCTTGGGATTATACCATTTCAGGTTAGATTACCCAGGTCTTGTGAACACCAAGACTCTCCCCAAGAAGCTCAGTCACCTCTGGAACTGCACCCCTTTGAGGTTTCTCAAAGGGGTGTCCCCCCACATTTTCCCCTAACTGGGCCTCGCCTTGTCTCGCCTAACATTGCCTGGCTTTGCCTCGACTTGCCTCGCCTTGCTTCGAATTGCCTCGCCTTACCTCACCTTACCTGGCCAAGCCTCACATTGCCTAGCATTGCCTCGTTTGCCTGGCCTTGCCTAGCCTCGAATGGCATTGCCGGGCCTTGCTAAGATATGCCTTGAAATCACGTGTCCCAAGTCTTAAGAAGTCACTTGTCCCAAGTCGTGACAAATCACTTGTCCCAAGTCTTGAGAAGTCACCTGTCAAAAGTCTTGAGAAGTCACCTGTCCCAAGTCTTGAGAAGTTCTTGTCCCAAGTCTTGAGAAGTCACTTGTCCCAAGTCTTCAGAAGTCACCTATCCCAAGTATTGAGAAGTCACCTTTCCCAAGTCTTG